TAATCTTTTTTACGTTTTGGAAAAATATTTTTTTCCCTCGCCAGACCGGCGCTTAACGCAAATTTTATGTGAAATCCTACATGGATAGAAAGACGAATTATTCTGTATTGTAATATGTTGCGTATATGTAATATTATTCTTGTGAGTATGCGAATCTCCAACAGTTTAATACATGCGGGAGGTTTGATACCCTACTTGCTTGTGCGTATATGAAATTTGCCCAACCAAGTCCGCAAATAATCAACAAATATTGACTTCTGGAATTAAAGATAATTTCACTGTCCAAACATACGTACAACTAACAGCCGCTATCTGGACAAGATGAGGGATGTCTTGAATGAGGAACATCAGTCATAACATATTATAGATATTACGATTTAGCGGATGTTATCCGTAATTTAGGCCAAAAATCAGATTATAATTGATGGATATTTATGTCGTCATGTAACTGTCAGTAAACATATTCGGGACAATATTATGGAGCTTTCATTATTGAAGCTAAAGTCACTGTCATCTAAAATGGTTTCCACTTAGGCGTTTCATCTGGTAACCAACCAGACTCATCAGAGTGGGAAAGACAATGAGAAGTTTGGAAAGTGTTCATTTGTTCGTTATCGTACTCATGTATAGGCACTTCGGCCATACATTTGCGTCATTATTAGAACTAAAATACCCAGATACATACATATATATACACATACTTACGTGTATATGGTGTATGTACTCTAAGGTTAACAAAATTGGATGGACATTGTGTTAATGTAGGTAATATGTACTTCTAAATACTTTATTTATCATATCTCACTGGAGTATAGTATAACAAATGGCTATAATAACATGATTATAAAAACAAGTGTTGAGGAAGATTAAAAAGGAAATATAGATAAATTCAGTTGATGAAATTAGTTGTTCCAGTAAATACAGATATATAAAATAAATGAATAAATAATAAATAAATAGATAAATAACTAAATGAAAAAATAAATAGCTAGAAATGAATAAATAAATAAATAAAGAAATGAATATAAATAAATGAATAAATGAGTAAATAAATAAATGAATAAATGAGTAAATAAATAAATGAATAAATAAATGAATAAATAAATAAATGAATAAATAAATAAATGAATAGATAAATAAATAGAAAATAAGTAAATGCAACTAAATACATAAATAAACAAGTGGGTAAATAATGTGATGGATAAATAAATGAGTTAACCAAATTGCACTGCCATTGCTTGTCTAATTGGCTATGAAAATTATATATTTATAATTAAGAGGTCGGACAACGAAGGTGATAGAATACAAAATTTTAGTCCATTAGAGTATGGTGAGCAGACATGTTAAAGGTTATCTCTATGTTAGATAGTAAATCATGTTGTGGGTATAATAATAACTTACTAGTTCAATCCATCTACCTAGCACCAAATATTATATCTCATAATGTCATATGAGGTGTTTATGGTTACGCAATAAGGTGTAGAGCAACCTACACTGCATTAATAGGGGTTGGGGCCTTGACAATATTTAACAGTTCTTATTTCACCATTTGTTTCCTTCAGTTGACCTTCTCCAACTGCACGATGTTGAATCTCAATATATACATACCATGCTGCTATCAGCTACAAGCGTGCTTAATATATCGACAAATATTCATTGACGTCCCCCGCGTACACCTCTTTCAATGGTTAAGAGTAAACAATATTCATTAATTTATTGGTGTGAACATTATTCTTTACCGTGTGAAACTAATAATGATTATTCTTTTTATACATATATGCTGACAGATTTTGTGTCAACGCCATCTAATGTAATTTTTATGTTGCTAATTCTGCAAATGGAATGAGATTCACGTTCCATGCATATTTCGCTAGATATTCAGATACACTTCCCCATTCCAAAAACGCCATCATTGTTCATAAGGCGTGCAAAAATTATTAGTTGCCAACCATTAAAGGCACAGTATATCAAGGAATTTATAAATTGAAATATATAAGTTGCGAGCCAGAGGACCGTCTATCCATCCTGCAGCAACACAGATCGAAAAGAAGGGAGTGAAGGAAGAACATGGATAAATAGCATTCACTAAGGGGGTCTAATGCACGATAAAGCAATATCAATCAAAGTAATGGATCAAGTATGCATCCGAATTCAGCCCAATTATAAGAGCAGTTAGTGCCCATTAGCATTTGTAGTTGTCCCGATATTTAATAGGATGTGGAACAGAGGTGAAGATAGATGATAAATTATATGATTCCATGATACTGAATTGTGTTTGGTTATGTAACGAAATCAAATCCTGTTGAGATTGCGAGGACTTCCAGTTTCCAGTTCTTTAACTACAATATGCCTTCAGTAAGGCAAATATATGAAGGATTGTTGTGGCAGCCACTTTAGTAGAGTTTTGGTGAATTAGGTGAAGGCAAGTGAGGCTGTGAGATACTGAGGCGTACACCATCCATGCACGAATCGTATTATGTTGGCAGAAAACTTTGACTGTTAAATTGTTTAGTATTTGTCATATGTCATTTTGTATTTAAATAATTATTTACTAATAATACAAGTTTTAAATACTAAAAAAGCTCTACATACGAACTAAAAAACATTGTGCATACACAAGTGCCAGTAATAGTGGTCAGTTATGTATACATACTTAAATTATGCTTGGTACTGTTCATAAATAAACATTATATAATAAATAGATAAATACTGAAGCAGACGACAACTGCAGACAGTAATACTTCCTTTTTGAGGTCTGCATGCTGATCTTAATTATATCTCATAAGAGATATATAAATAGAACCATAGTATAAATGTGGTATAGAAATATATGCTGGTGCACATCTTAAAATATTGTGTCATAATAGCAGATACCCTTCCTTTCAAACCTCTGGTACATGCCTTATGTGCCTAACTGTTAACTGGAAAACCAGTTAATTTAATTTTTTTGTACAGTATCTTTAGATATTTCAGGTGTAGCATTTCAGTGAATATTAAGTGTATTATCTATATACATAAAAGAAAGTCGTGTTAGTTAGACCACTCATAACTCAAGAACGGCTGAACCGATTTTAATTATCTTTGATTTGTTGGAATCGTCTCCGCTCCGAATAGCAGAATACATTATAAAATATTGGAAAAATCCACTAATTTTAGCAAAAATAATAAATTTGTGAATGCTGTTTCAAACTGTTGACAGTTCGACAGTTTGAGTGATATTGATTTCTTTTTAAATTTTTTTTTCAAATATTTCAAATATTTCAAATTTCAAATATAATAAATTCAAATATAATATGTAAATAAATATTGTTATCAATATATGAGGTGAAAGTATCGATTTGTTTTGCGCGAGTGTTTAATATTGTAATGAACCTTTCTTTTGGTTCGTATTAAGCTGGGGTTGAACTCAGCCGTCCCCAAGGTCCACACAAGAAATTTATTTAGTGAGACCCCGTCACTTCTGATTGCTCTTAATTACAGATACCTAGGTTCGAATACCAATCGGAATCACAGACACAAAGGAATCACTTGACTGAAATAGACACGATATAATACCAGCACGCGTGACTGTTAAAGCTACGTGAGTGGTATTACAGGTCGCTGATCACACGCCCTTCCCTGTTCACTGTTAAAGCGCCCAGGGGCCGGAGACGTTAGGTGACTATTAAAGCTACCTATCGTTTCCGACACTATGGTAAAGACTCACGTGACTATTAAAGCTACGTGAGTTATACCCCGTACAACCGAGATTCAGTTACTATTGAAGCCCCGAATCTTTCTTACCTGTGTCTCTCACTTGTGTCGTTGTGCTGGATTCCCACCTTGAATTTATACCGTTCAGGAGTAGCTAGTCTATGTGGTACTTTATCAATTCTGTATTTGGTTAAGAATCTGATTGCGTTTGTTGAAATACACTTTTAGTTTATTTTCCTTTTAATTTATTTATTCGATATAAAAGAAATTGTTAAGATTTATTATATTAACAACCAAACAATTATGTCTAAGATATAATTTGTACGTACTTTTATTTGGCTTTACAGCCACTAGTAAAATTCAATTGTTAAGTTTTTTTCCCAATTTATTATTGCAAAATTTTCAATATTTCGATATTATCAAATATATATAATCTATGTGTACAAGATTTTAATTTGTGCGTACTTTTTATTTTTACTTAACTTTGACTTTGGTTACAAAATTCAATTTTTAAATGTTCACAATTTATAAATAAAATTTTCTATATTTCGATATTATCAAATATATAATTTCTGTGTACAAAATTTTAAATTTTACGTACTTTTTATTTTTACTTAACTTTGACTTTGGTTACAAGATTCAATTTTTAAATGTTCACAATTTATAAATAAAAGTTTCAATATTTCGATATTATCAAATTTATATAATCTCTGTGTACAAGATTTTAATTTGTGCGTACTTTTTATTTTTTACTTAACTTTGACTTTGGTTACAAAATTCAATTTTTAAATGTTCACAATTTATAAATAAAATTTTTCTATATTTCGATATTGTCAAATATATAATTTCTGTGTACAAAATTTTAAATTATACGTAATTTTTATTTTTACTTAACTTTGACTTTGGTTACAAGATTCAAATTTTAAATGTTCACAATTTATAAATAAAATTTTCAATATATATAATCTCTATGTATAAAATTTTTTTAACAAAATATTCTCACTAAGTTTGAAGAGTCACTCAAATTTCACTGGTGACACCGCCGTCTTAGTCACGTACTTTTTAGCTGCAACGGAAACCAGAGCCAGGAGTCTTTCTTCCGCGGTAGAACAAACAAGAGACCTTCTTCTTGGTGAACGCTCCTTTTATCCCCTCCATGGTCAACGGTGTCAGCTGAAAAAACGTTAAAGTTTGTTGACCCAACATTAAAGCTCCTTTTCTGTACCGCACTGAGCGAAAGTTTAGTTTCACGGCGAATTTACATTTCTTTGAGTACCTTTTAGAAGTGGTTTTTGTCTAAGTTGTGATCCACTTCTACACCTTTTCTGCACAAAGCTTTCTTCGTTTGACAGGTCTCTTTACTATTATTTTGTTTTGCTCTCGTTTGTTTGTTAGCAATGTGTTGTGCCGGTGAACGTGTGTATTTAATTCTATTAATTAGAAAATTATTTTAAAATGATTTTATTTTCCAATAAAGTTCCAGCAAAATAGAACACCCAACGATAGCTCAAGATATGTGTCTTATTTATTCAAAAATTGTTCACGCACTAACCAAGGATTTTCATACAATTTTAAGATTTGTCAAATTCAAAGTCACGTTGTTGGTGGCAGAGGATTGGGGTGAGTTGGTTTAACTTAATGTTTTTATAAGTATTTAACAATTTTTATTACAGGAACCTTCGAGTGAGTGTTACTTGTTGTGTGTTAGGTGGTCGTGTTGTGTTTAGTAGACAGCTATACCCACGACGTTGTAACGATCAAATTTTTGGTTGACAAAATTTTGGCCGTTACAATATTAACAATGCCGCCACCCAGAAAGTCTAATCTTTCTCAACAAAGCCGTAATGCAATTAGGCGTCGAACCATTACGCATGCATCCACTGAAGAAGAACGAGAACCGCACAAGAAAGGAGCCTCATTGGTATGACCCGCCTTCGCGCTTCTCAAACACAAGAGCAAAGAGAGGCAGCCCATGAAACGGCTCGGTTGGCAATGAGAAATCGTCAAGCTTATCACACAGACCAACAACGAGAAAATATGCGACGATCAAGAAGAAATGCCTCAACTATTGATTTGTATCGAGCAGCGTTTCTATACGATTGCGCAAATGATTACACTTCCCATCCTTTCGTTCGCATTGGTCCAATGGACGTTACTTGCGAACATTGCGGAGCATTAAAGTTTGCTGGGGAATCGCCGGGATTGTGCTGCCTTAATGGTAAAGAGAAATTGCCATTATTGACTCCGCCACCTGAGTCATTGCATTCATTGCTTTATGGTGAAACACCAGAATCACGCCATTTTCTAGCGAACACTCAAAAGTACAATAGCTGCTTTCAAATGACTTCATTCGGGGCGGACATTATCGAAGAATATGGATTTAATCAGACGTTCAAGGTAATTTATGTTCAAAAGAGCAAATGTTCATTTTCTTTAAGAAATTAAAGATAAAAAATTTGATCAAATGTGAAATATAGGTGAAAAACTTTTGTTATATTCCTGTATTTGTGTCTAAAATAAATAATTTAAAATGTTAACATTTTAGAGTATAATCTTTTTAAACAAATCAATGAAGCATGAATAACTTTTAAATGTCTAATATAAATGTATATAGATACTAAAAAACTGTATAATAATTAAAAAAACGTTATCCAGTGGACCAAATTGTGAATCTAAACCATCCTTGAATTGACTTGAACACACACAAAAAAGAAGAATTATATATATAAAGATATAAATAACGTACAAAAAACAATGCCACGTCTTCGTGGACGAGGAGGAAATATTGGTCGACGGACTCGGAATTCACAATTACTCCAGAACCGTCGGTTAAATATATCGACAGAAAACAATGAAAATGTAAGAAACCAGGATACAATCACACGTGCTAATGAAAGTCAAAAGTAACGCAACGAACGCCTTCGAGCTAATGCATTGAGACAAAGACTGGCCCGTCAACGAGTCACCGACACATTCAGTATACAGCGTTTGCAAGTGTTGACACGTTCATCATTTCATCGCCTTGCGTTTGAATATGAGTCGGATATCGACTATTCGTCACATTCACGAATTGTAATCCGTGCTATAAACAAACAGTGTCAACACTGTCATGCACTCAAATACAAAGGTGAATCGACCGGTTTCTGCGGTCATCTGGAAAAGTTGTATTGCCACCATTGAATTCGCCGCCAGAACCATTGAAAGCACTATTGGCTGGAGCTACATCTCAATCAAAATTGTTTTTTCGTAAAATTCGCCAATTCAATTCGTGCTTTCAAATTACATCATTTGGGACAACAAAAATCGTTCAGAATGAGAATGAATCTTAAACGTTCAATCAACGTTTAAGATTCAGG